TTAAAAAACCCTAGAATTTCACCTCTTGCAATTTTCAGTTTCTCACATAAAATTGATTTTCTTTGTATAAGTATATTTTTATTGCTAAAATTAGTCAGTCACATTAAAAAAAAATCCCCACATACTTTAAGAAGTGAATGTGTATAGTACTGAAATATAGCCACCTCTAGGGTTAAGCACAGCAGCTGTTTGACAGCACATAGCAACACTGTGAATTAGTTTAGAGAAGAAATTGTGAATAGTATATTGGCAGAAACTTTAGAAGGAATTTAGATGAGCAAAATTAAATTATCCAAATCCAGGGCACCAGGGATTATCCAAATGTACCAGAGCATCAAGGATAACAGTTCTACTCCTGGGGGGAAAAACCCATGGAATGTTTAATGGCCACAGGTGATTAGGACCCAGATCTTATGTGCACTGCGTCTTATGTACACCAGGCCTCCAAATAATGTGTTAGAGGACTGGTTGAGTACTGACAGAGAGGGAAGATTTCTCTTTACTGAATCCCCAGCTTCAGGAATCTTAGTAGTGTTTTTGAGGTCTACCATACAAGTATTGGGCTTAGGTTGTGAAATCTGCAATGAAATTGCCACCCAATATGGCACAGCTACAAGCTGCGTCCTTACTTTCCTACTTCGAAGCTTTATTTTATCCATAAATGGTCCCTTACATGTATGTTTGTAACAGTGTTTCTCAACATTTTAAACTTACTTTTCATTAAAAGGTCCTGGCTGTGCAGTCCCCGTACCAGCTAATCAGTCATTCTGGACTCGTGAGGAATACTCTAGTCCGAAGCTTCCCAGAGCGTCTCACAAAGCTGTTGTCAATGGCAATGTAATGTGGGTTGTTGGAGGCTACATGTTCAATCATTCCGATTCCCGTATGGTTTTAGCGTGAGTAAACCCAAATACCTTGATATCATTTTTGCTTTTCCAACTACAAGATATTATTAGATGTCAAGAATTAATTTTAGAAAACATCATCCTGCAAACTGTGTCCACACCTGCGCCCTACCCAAAGCTAGGATTTGTCAACATGAGTTTACTAATGTTTGATGGGAGCTAGTTTTGGAAAAACTTCATACAGAGTCGTGAGGTTCAGTAACTGCTGACCTACTCCGTCCTTCCTACAACACTATCCTGTCTCACTGTTATTACTTTCTGTATATTCATCCATAAGCCCCACAAGTTCACCTTCAGTGAGGCTGAGTCTACATCCTCTCAGAGACCATCTGAATTAACTCATTCTAATAAAACAGCTTCTGCTGTTTAACCTGCATGATTTCAGGCTGTGACTGCTTAATGAAGCTCTATGGACTATTGAAATGGATATTTGAACTTAGAAAGAGAGGAACCATATCCCAATGGATAGGGCACCAGACTGAGATTTGGCTATGCTGGATCTATTCTTGTCACCAGGCCAATTCAAAACGGACTCACTGTATGACTTTGAGCAAGTCATTTAAACTCTGTGCCCTCATCTGTAAAATGAGGATGACACCCACTGTTGTGACGAATATTGTTATATCATTTATACAATTATCATTAAGTGCACACTAATATTCTCTGTGGAAAGCTTTTAAACCACCCAGATAGTGTTACAAACTAAAAGGTATAGGACCTAATTCTGCCCTAAAATGCATACATATAGCTTCTGTCAGCTTCAGTGAGAGTCATGCATTCAGAATTGGGGACAGTGTTTGGTCCATAAGTAGCAGTTTCTCTAAGCCATACTTGAAGGTTATTTGAAACTTCACATATCATTGCAAGGCAGTCCTTCCTCATTTTCACTAGCTAGTTTTTCAAAGACTTGCCTTGTTTTTTCATCTCACTAAACACATGCGGCTAGACTTCATTAAAGATTTATCTTAAAGCTGATTTTTCTTTACATAAATGTAAGCATTGCAACTATAGCTACTTCCCTAGCTGTAAAGCCAATGAACTTTTTTTTTTGATGGGATCTTTCTCTTGTTGATTTCCTGTTCCAAATTAAGTTTAGAGAGAGTTTTTATGGTTGAATGATGAAAGTGTAATTAAAAAATACTATGCTATGAATATTGATGGTTTCCTGTAGGAATGTTGGAATTTACCCTGAGCTTTTGTAGAACCTATTTTTGACACACCTTTGGGCAGATCCTCCGTTGATATAAATTGGCATAGCTCCGTTGTGAATGTTGTCACTCTTGGTTTTGCATAGGGAAGTGTAACACTAAGTATGGTAAAGAAGCAAAAGTATATTTGTTTAAAGTATACTGCTTAAGTTTAACTTTTATCCATAAAAGATTTTTTGTTGTATATAATTTGCAACCATGTGTCTTCACACTTTTTATTAATATATCTTTCCTAACAAATCCAGAGGAGGACAGGTAAATTTGTATATAAATTACACAGAAAAATCTCAAATTCTCATTTATACAGGTATGACCTTGTTTCTGAGGAGTGGCTTGCACTGAACAGCACTGTGAACTCTGTAGAGATCAGATATGGTCATTCATTGGCGTTACACGAGGTTGGTAGATGTATTAGTGCTAATTAAATCTTGCTTTCAGTTGTTTTAGTTCTGTGTATATAATGTTTTGGGAGAAGCATTGCTTACTTAACTGAGTGGCAAGGGCAGCCCGAGGGATAAAAGAAAAGAAAACAAAAAGTTCACCTTAAGGTAATCCTACCAGACAGTTAAATTTAGTGGCATATACATTGTGTTGGAATTTTTTTGAATACAAATACACAAAGAATACGGCTGGATGTGTCATTTGTATATTAGCATAATTTCAGACTTCATCTTTTGATAGATCCTAACTGGTTAAATATTTTGAGGCTCTTCACTTGCTTAGTAGTCATAGACTTTTTAAATAACAGACTTTTCATTTTTATTTTTCTTGAGGTAGGGAGGATAGCATAGGGAATTTACCTTTTTTTCCTCCCTAAGTACGTTGTGCATCAGACAACATAATTTGAGTAAGACCAGGAGGAGATGGACAGATGTTACCCTAGGTTTGCATTGCCCTTGTTAAACTCTACCATAACTCCTTAATAGTTAACAAGAAAAAGGTACGCGTACTGTAGTGCTTTTCCAGAGTGAGGCTGAGGAGGAGTCAAATAGTTTTATTTACCTTATACTAAGAAGGAAAAATAATGAGAAACAATTTTTCTTAATTTTTGTTTAACATCCAGTGAAACGGTTGGATCTTCCATGGATGCTTAGAAGACCTTCATTTAATTTTCCATTAGCATTAGCAGGAGTTATTAGTATAAATCTTCTATACATTGCACAATATGTGGTGGACATTTGTTGGGGAACTATAAACCATAGCAGTTGGTTTCTTTTGTATGTGTGGTGTGTTAATGCCAAAAAGTCTGATCATTTCTTTATTAAACCAACTTTTTTTCCAGAATAAAATCTATATGTATGGAGGAAAAATAGATGCAACGGGGAATGTGACCAATCAGCTGTGGGTATTCCATATACACAATGAGTCATGGGTTCAAGTGACCCCAAAAGCCAAGGAGCAGTATGCAGTTGTTGGCCACTCAGCACACATTGTCACTCTGGAAGATGGCAGTGCTGTTATGCTCATCATCTTTGGGCACTGCCCTCTGTATGGGTATATCAGCAATGTGCAGGAATATAACCTTGGTAGGTACAGTCTTACCACTTGTTTCTATTTCAATGTTCAGTTTCCAACCATTAACCAGATCCAGGCAAAAACAGTATATTGAACTTATTGATGTTCAAGTTCCTCTTTTTTTCCCCTACAGTGTATTTTTTAGAACTTGAATCTAATGTCGTGTACAAAATGCTTGAATATCTGTACAGTGACTAGAAAGGCATGTACCCCTTATGGCTATCCAGTATATGTGACAGAACTGCAATGAATTATGAGGAAAGTCTAACTGATTATGAAGCAACTTTGAGTTTTGTTGACAGCATTCTAAAAATACACAGCAAAGTAGAAACGTAACTAAAATACCAGGAATGCCACACTCTTGCAAGGCTTGTGGAGAACCTTTTTTGACTGTGGGAAGTGTTGGTGTCTCCCCACCATGGTGTCTCCCTACCATGGCTGCAGAATGAAACCTCAAACTCTCCATGATTTTTTCTTGAAGTTTGGAAAGCTACAAACTCTGTTTTGTAGCAGCTTTCATTATGCATGATATGTGAATAATTGAGTCAGATTCATTATGAAATGAATTTAAAACAATTCTGTTCTTTATTTGTGAGTGGGATGCCTTTCTTCTTGTGTATATATTGCTGCATTTAGTACCTAGAGCCCAGATAAAACGTTACGTAGCGTCATCCTCTTTGGGGGTGACTGGATTCACATTTCATGTATTGTATTTCACACACATGCATACATTCACCAAAAGCTATTTGTATCTCAGAAGTTCATCAGCTTTTAGAGACGTTCAGATATAAAAGTTAGACTGTATGCTCTCCCAGATGGTTGCTGTGTCTTGCTGTATTTATATACCATGTCCAAGACAGTAAAGCACTGATCTCAATTGGTGCCTATAAGTATTAGCATACTATAAACAGCAAATCATAATTTTTGCAGTATATTATTGGTTTATACATTGTATTCATATATGTGTTAGCTCTTCCAGTTCATTTTCATAAATAACTTTTTTACTTCCTTAATTCATTGCAGTTTTATCTTGATTTTAAGGCAGTGGTACCCAACGTTTGGTTGGGGCCAAATTTTGTAGTTAGCGACTGCCGAGTTTTTTACTAGTCCTCCTTTAAATCTCTAATGTCACAGTCCTGGAATTAGTTTGACTTTTTGATTTACCTGGGAGCTTTTTGTTTAATCTAGGCATGCAGTGCCATTAGGTGACATGCTGGGATGTAGTTACTGTATCTGAAATAGCTGGTGATCGGAATTTGTGACTTTCTTAAGAAGCGAGCAAAAGGAAACAGGATTTCTAGACTGCCATGTTGAATGGTGGCATCAGAAGCTATGGCAAATATGGATACCAAAATCTCCCTCACGGGTCATTCAGATTATCTGTATTACTTTGGCAAAAATTCTATACAGCTGATTGTTGTGTAGTATTAAAGCTGGGAAGAGGCATTTTTCCCCCTGTGCCACCCTCTCTTTTAAATAAAAACAGTCCAAAACTTGTTTTGGTATCTAGGAAACACATAGTCTCCTGATATATGAACAACAACTGTGTCCCAATCTATGGTCAAACAGAGGCAATGATTGTGATAGAAACAAACCAAGAGACTGTCTTGGTTCGTTAGGGGAGTCTCCTTCATCCTCAGTTTTATATTTCCTGCATGGAAAAATGCCTTTGGGGAGATAGACTTGTATTCAGCTAGGGTCTGCTGCTTTAGGAAATTATGGTGTGGGAACTCGGATATGATTTTCTTCCTAGTTCTTAAAGACACCCACGTGCATAAGTTTCCAAAGGCTACACCATTCATTTCCTTTAATTTTTGGGAAGAAGTTCCTTGAATATCTGTCAGAACCCTGAAGTTACTTTCTTTCTTCCCGTATTTGCCTGTCTTGGGAAGTCTGCATGGCATTTCCTTCAGAGCCTCTCAGCATTGCTCCTTAATTGGAGGAAAAAAAAAAAGTTTTGGTGTTTAGTTGGGTAAAATGTTTCTCTCAGGCTTATGATGTTTCCTTTGTTATACTCCAAGCCCTGCCAATCCAGGGAGTGAGGGACCAGGGCCTGGGCTCTCAAGCGTGGCTATGAAGAACACTATAGTTAGGCCACCAGGCGGGCATTCTTTTAAAAAATATATCCCAGTGAGTTTGGCTTCTATGCTTTCTTGCCTTAAATCTATAGAATATTCAAAAAGAGTGCTTTCGGATACCATAACAAATCAAGTAACTTTACTGGTGATTTGATGTCACCAAAATGTGACAGATAATTTTAATGCTTTTTGTATTTCACTCTCTTGGCTTGTCTTTGAAGTTTAATGAATGAGTGTTGGAGGAGAATGCTTATGGTCTAATTAAAA